GGAAAAGACCTTTAAGATCATCCAGTCCAACCATTACTCAGCACTGGTGAGGCCACACCTCGAATACAGTCCAGTTTTGGGCCCCTCAATACAAGAAAGACATTGAGGTGCTGGAGCATGTTCAGAGAAGGGCAACAAGGCTGGTGAAGGGTCTGGAGCACAGGCCTTCTGAGGAGTGGCTGAGGGAACTGGGATTGTTTAGCCTAGAGAAAAAGAGGCTGAGGGGAGACCTTATCGCTGTCTACAACTACCTGAAGGGAGGTTATAGTGAGGTGGGTGTTGGTCTCTTCTCCCAAGTAGTTAGCGATAGGATGAGAGGAAATGGCCTCAAGTTGCATCAGGGGAGGTTTAGGTTGGATGTCAGGAAAAATTTCTTCATAGAAAGAGTGGTCAAGCATTGGAACAGGCTGCCCAGAGAGGTGGTGGAGTCACCATCCCTGGAGGTGTTCAAAAAACGGGTAGATGTGGCACTTTGGGACACGGTTTAGTAGGCATGGTGGTGTTGGGTTAATGGTTGGACTGATGATCTTAGAGATCCTTTCCAACCTTAATGATTCCTAGTTTTACTTTCATTAAAAAATAATCCAGCCACCAAGCCAGGAAACATGAAATTACTACTCTACCCTTAATTGGTTTAGTGGTGGACTTGGTAATGTTAGGTTAATGGTTGGACTGGATGATCTTAAAGGTCTTTTCCAACCTAAATGATTCTATGATTCTATGATTCATGTGTAGTGGGGCCCTTTGCCGCAGTCTGCTTTCAACTACATAATTAACATTAGCTTTTCCCTGCTTCTGTTTTCATAAGTTTTAGGAAGTGGAATAGGATACCAGGGATTATTAAGTATATGTGCAATATTCTATACTAACTAAAAATGCGATACTATACAAGTATACAACTATACAACTATACAAGTATAGCTAAAATAGCTATACTAACTAAAAATGGTTTTACTGGGGGTACTTCGATGTTAGTCCTCGATAAAGAAATTCCCTTTTTAGAGTGAAGTTGGTGTTTCTCAGGTCTATTTACAAAAATGATTCTCATTTGTAACTGTAAAGCTATTATTTACTATTACCGGAAAAAGAACAAAACCCCATTACCTTAACATTAATGCCACCGTGGGTGTGATGTGAGGTCTCACTGGTTCTGGTACAGTGTTGAATTTTGTAACTCTCTAAGATGGCTGTGCTTCTTGGGTACAGCTCAACACCAGTGCCCTGTTCATTAACAAAATGGTTATACCAAATTTCATGTTGCTTGTAAGAATTGTTGAAAAATTAATTGGCGCTTAAAGAGTACAGCCCAGTGTAATAACGTACAAAATTGTGTAGGTCACACACCTACGCTGGGAGTTGCCCCTGGGATGGAGCTTGCAAGGATACCCAGTCCTGAGGAGTGCTCAGGTCACAGGTTGTGAAGGGGGAAGGTGCTGTGGACTGTTTAGCATCTACAAATTACAGCTTAGTTGGTTTTATCTACGTGCGAGTATTTTACATATTAAGGAGTGTCAAGCATGAAAATACTGCTTAACAATATTCAGTCTGGTTTTTAATATCTAATCCATCAGGGCAAGTTAAGTGGGAAAGCAATAATCCTTGCCTACGCTTCCCGTGCCGGAAATGAATAGCACAGTCTAAACAAGGATTGACATGGTAATGAAGAGCTTAAACAGCCTGCATACAGAAACCTGAAAATTAACCTGAAATGACATGTACGTTTTCACAGTAAAAACTGAGCTTGTGATGAGTTTACTGTGTGAGTAAATTGATCTGTGCTTTATTTCAAAAAGCCAGGTTGTCAGAGCTCTCCCCTCTCTTGTACAACAAATTTAATTATCTGAAAGTCAAGAAGAACGAACTACCTCCGGTAATCTCACTATCTGTGATGGTCAGAGAAGCCCCGGTAAGCGCAGAAGCCAGTTCCTTTGCACCTTCGTACACAATTTGCTATAGTCACCTGGCCAGATTCAGTGTCAGCCATGACACCGTTGACTGTTCTCCGCTGTACTGACCTAAGGTGCGTTGGGTTAGTATCTCGGGCTTTTGATACCACAGAGCTCTCATAAGGGGGTTTGGAAACAATCACGGATTCTTCTCGTTTTCCAGCTGCAAGTGAAAAAGGAGAATAATAATATTGACAATAATGTCAAAACCATAATACGAAGGATAACACTCGTCAGTCAGTTACTTGAATTTTGCTTGGTTTAAAACTTCTCACATAAATATTAACAATGCTACCAACAAGTTACAAACCATTAAATGCACTTTTTATCTTAATTTCTGGACCTTGTGCTTGCCCGCCTGATTGCATGCCCTATGCTGCATTAAACAAAACACGAACACCGTTCACGCAAACTGACAGCTCAATTTCAAAAGCCTGGTGAGCAGAACACAAACCACAAAGACATAGACTGTGTATCTCTGCACAGGAGAGACGAGAAACACAGCATGTTCGCTTTTGTCCTTGAGGTGATATTTAGAGTCAGTCACAGAAGAAGGCTGAGTGTCTGCCTTTTGTTGCTCTCTTAGAGTAAATGTGCAGGAGATTAATCTCATCAACACAGAAGTACTCAGGCAGCATGTCCCATAACATCCTCCAGGGTAAGAATTGAAAAATGTCTCTAGCCGTAGGGAGATTTCCACCAACGGAGAAACATTCAACAGAACTACGCTATGATCTTTACTTGGAGAACGTTTAAAAGAAAACATTTAGTTTTGATCAGTTGTGACATCAGCATTAATGGTATCCCACTGATCTCAAGACCACCATCTCCAGGAGGATGAGTCCTCTTGAAAGGAAATCTTTGCTCTTAAGCAGTTTCTTTATAGGAAGATTCTTTCTATGGAGTTACTTAGAAACATTTGCGCTTGATATGTAGGGCACATATTAAAAGCGTGCCCATACTGAATTTGTTCCTAAGAACCCTGACCAAATTAGCAGTGCAATTACCTAATTGATCTCTTTTCCTGCCTCCAAATCAAAAATGGGGTGAGGAATGCCAGCCAGAGGAAAACTAATGTCACGGATACAACTTTATCAAGGTGGGTGGCTTAGTATGCAAGATAGTGATGCCTTACCTGTCTCTGAAAAAGAGATGCAATATGAGTTTAAAAACAGCAAAAAAAGATGAAGAGATGAGTGCTTTTAATCAAAAGCTCACCTGGAGCTTTGAGAGGAGAAAGACCTGAAAATAACGGCCTAAAAGCACTTCCTTGGTTCAAGCATCATCTGTTGAGAGTGTGTGGCCTCACAGTGTGCAGCAGAAGGGCACACTTCACTGGCACACGTGCGCTCTCAGTTTCACTGACATTTTCTATCGCCTCGTTCCAAATCTCCCTCGTTGCCTGCTCCCTACCCTCCTGGTGCTTTTCTCCTGACACTGTCAAGAGCTCTGAAACCTGTCTGGTATTTCCTTGTTCTCAGCAGTAACAGAAAGCTGCATTAAGGCATCCTTAAAATAAGCTGAACAAAAAGTCCTCACCAGTAGCTTTGCATGAGGCACTGGTGTTTAAAAGCAGGTTGGGTCTAGGATGAGGAGGTCATTTAAAGAAGCAAGAGATGCTGCCTTAGCGCTGGTGAAGCAACTTAAAACATCGGTGCATTTTAAGTGTGCCTGTGTCTGGGCAGAAAAGGGGGCGGCTAAAGGGCTGAGGTGCAAGAAATAGCTTCAGTTTCTCTGTATTTCTGCTGGGAGTTTTGCTTTACTGGTTAGCACAAGCCTTCGTGTTGCAGAAGGGCCAGCTTTAGCAGAATGTATTTCAGTGACTGTTCTCCCCTGGAGGTAATGTGCATTAAAACAGCACACCAGAAAGGACAGGCAGCTGAAGGAGCACTTTTGCATTGTTTTCAGGATACTAAAAAGCATGAAAAATTGATGGAGTAAAAGATAAACTCGGAACCCGATGTCGTACTTTGCAAGATGTGAGACGACGTGACGGTGTAGGCATCAACCCGAGTACAGAAACGTGCGCAAGTGAGTGCAGGCATTTAGATAAACGGTGCTTGTAGGCTTTAAACCTGCAAGGTGTGATTCGCATGGCTGGAAAGTTTGCTGATGCTAATTTCTTATTAAACCCGTCACCTTATGGGAGTGTTAAATACAGTGCTGATATTGATGTTCTTATAAAAAAAAAAGCAACCCAAATCACACCTTTCAAGAGCCATCGGGGAAGAGGACCTGCCTGCTTTGGAGGTGCTATTGCTGCCTAACTTTATGCTGCTTTAAAATATGTATGTTTTATATATACATATGTTTTATGAAACTGATTTTTCACTGAATTCCTGCTATACTGTATTCCAGTAGCACAGTATTTTTTCCCTAGGTAGTAGCTAACAAATTATACTCTGCTGTTTATTTTCACACTGAAAGTTTTTAATCCCATTAAAAGCTCTGGTAAACATACTTTTCCCTACCATTTGCTAAGAACTGTTAATCAGGACTGCTTTTGAGCTATGGTTCATAAAGACAGAGGTAAATTATAAAAGAATACAATACTAAGGTCCAATAATAATGTCTTTAGTTCACAGGGATAAGTTTACAGCCTCGTATTCTCCTGGGAAAATGACCACATGGTTTCCACTGTACCAATTTGATCTTAAAGGTCTTTTCCAACCTAAACGATTCTATGATTCTAATTTTCTAAAGCCACGTTCAAATTATTATATTGCTGAAATGGAGTGTTCATAGAAAAATCTTTCACCTTTACAGGAAAGAGTAAGCACTGCTTCCTACATTTGAACAAACTAAAAAAAAAAAAAAAGCAGAAGCAAAGTTTCAAATTTAAGAGCAATTTTTAAATCTGCCCTGCTCTGTTTCCTGCAGTCAGTTCCTTTTGCAAAGAGCTTTTTAGATACCAGGACTGTATTTTGGAATACCAAGTTTTCCTCCCGTGCTGGCATCTGCAAAGAGACATTCAGAAAGCTACACTGGAAAATACATGAGGAACTGCCTATTTTTCCTAGCTACTGGGTTTGTGCACATCTAAGCTCCTGACCTATAGTCAGCATCTGGTTCTTAATTGCCCACTGTTCCTCTTACCTTCTACTGAAGGAATTAGTTGCTCAATGTAGCCAACTCTTTTCTGGGGGGAGAGGGGAGTAAGAGTTCTCTCAACTGCATCAGCGCTCTTTCCAAGGACAGAAATTGCAAGAAAAAGAAAATTCTCAACTGTGGTAAGCAGAAAGAATAATAGTATGTTTGGTCATGTAGCTCTGTGCCATCTGCCACTATTACTGTAATGATGGCCCAAAATTCTCACCTATGGATGGAGAATAAAAAGTTGAAGGTCCACTCCTGAAAAAATATGTAGTAGGTGGTACCTAGGAGTTTAGGAAGGCTTCCAAGGAAAAAGAAAAGATACCTCAAGTGTTGGGCTTTTTTGGATTATGTTACTTATTGTAAAGCATCTTAAAAGATAATTCTGCTTTCAACTGATTGCCCGTTTTCATACTGCGCTATGGATAATTCCAGTGCAATAACCACTTCAGTTGGTTTCCTTTTGTGCTCAGCTGCTCAGACCACCTGCTTGCCACATCCAAACCCTCAAAATAAAGTTTAGCTTTGTGAAATGTCAAGGCTTTGACTCATGTGCTGAAGTCTAAACACGGCTCTTCCAGCATAGCTGCCTTTATAACGTTTGTTTGACAAACTAATAGATGGGGCCAAAACTGCTTTGATGGAGTTTAAGTATCATATAACCTAGATCACTATTTCAAGGTGGATTTATTGTAGTTTTAATTCTATGATTTCTTACATAGGAGCTCATTCATTCATTCATTCATTCTATGCACTGATAAGTGACATTCCTGAAGATGTTTTCTACATCTGCTTTCTACTTGTCCTCTACTTTTCACCCCTTCGCTCTGCAGGCCTGATCAATTCTGGGATTTGGTGGCAAGAAAGAATTTGAGGATTTAGGATGATCCAAACTCGGCACGGTGGGAACTGTATAAGCATGGCCTGCCGGACGCTCTCAGAGCAGAAAACTTCTGTGAGAAACTCCCAGTGATGTCATATTTTCCAAGGCACCATTAAAAACTTTAATTTTTTTAAAATCTTTGAGTGACTCAGAAATCTGGCACTGTGCAAAGTACAAGCTTTGCTGGTATGATATCAGCATCTGTGGTGGGTGGAAGGGTAGACTTTGATGGTAGGAGTTCTAATCCAACTGAAGATGAATTTAAGGAACTGAGGTAGAAGAAAGAATCCATAAATACTAGGTGCTGATGAGAGCTCAAAAGTCTTTGACAACCAAAGACCATGGATATAAAAGTTAGGATTAAAACACAGTACGTTATCGAATACAAGGATACATCATGATAAAAAGCAAAAAAATCTTTATTATATTGTGCCAGATAACACATAGAAAATTTTGCATAATATACTTCTGCCCCACTACCCCTCTGAAAATAGAAAATATTTCTGGTCATGAGTATTTCTGGTACATAATCACTCAAGTCATAATTAAGGAATTTATATGCTCATTTACAGGAGAAAAGAGATTTTTCTCCCTGATACTGCCAGATTTCCCATGTAATTCCAGGCAGAAGATTTAGTCCAGTTTCACATTAACGTACATTCTTTATATTCTGTGTGTAATGTGCAAGGCACCTGCATATTAGCCTGTGGATATGCAGGCAATGAAAACTGCAATTTCAAAGTACTTCTTTTCTTTTTTTCTTTTTTCCCCTAAATTTTCAAGCGGCTAATGGCCCAGAAGGGTTACCAGAGACAAAGTGTCCCACTTCTGCAGCAGTTCACATAGCACAGTATGTTTTCTGGTATTCATCAGCTTCTCCAGCTGTCGGTTCTTCTTTAATGCTACTTTGATAATGAATCAAGTCCAAACGTAAGATTTTCTACTTTTCCAGATGTTTTTAAAGTGGTGACCCACTGCAGCATGAAAAGTTCCTCAAGCAGAGCTGACTATTTCTCACAGCTTTCATCATCATCCCAGTTCCCACAAATGACATCACTAAAGAATGTAAATGATATCTTCATGTTACAGTATGTAAGTGGATAGAGAGCAGGGAAAAGTGGTCTTTTTTTCCTTTTCTAAACTCGCAAAAGTTTGCAGGTAATTTTCCTAATATGGAAAGACTGCAAATAATATAATTAGATGAGAAAAAATTCTGGTGTAACTATCATTTATGGGGGGAAGGGGAAGAGTAGAAAGCATTCTAGGACAGTAACACTTACCTGTTCTGCAGAATATGATCGGTAGCATACAAAATAAGCAAAACTTTATCTTAAAGACAAGAATTTGAGATTAGTAGCATTATTGGATGTTTCAAGCAATCTCCTGAATACATCCCTGCAGAGAGATGAGGCTGAAGGATATGAGAACATGGAAACACATTGCAAAAACAACTCTGGAAGCAGAAGGAAAGGGCTACTAAACTCATAATACGAAAACTAATCACAACAATGGAAACAGTCTGGCTCTGTTCTTAGGAGAAGACAAATTAGAAGATTTCTAGTACATCCCTGACTGTCAAACAATGTTAGACCTTTAGCTATTTATAATATTTTTGAATGCCCCCATGCTTATAAACAAACAAAGCCAAAAAGCTCCAGACCCTGCACAGATTTATGCAGGAAAGGCAGAATGTGTATTTTAAGACAAAGGTTTTCAGGTGGTGTAAGTCTTGAGACCCATCTCATTTGAATGACCAGTCTCAAACTAGGTAGAACAAACCCAAATTAATCAACTAAGTTTTGCTAATTCTCTAGTTTGTAATCTGAATCTCGAAGAGCCAGGAGAGAGCTTAGAACCGCTCACTCACATGCATACCGCACACACGTCCAAACTACTCGGATCAGTTGGGACAACAGATGAGCAGTAGCACTGGTGTTTACCGTGTGACCTTTTACAGCTGCCATAGAATGGTTCATCCTCCTCCCTTAGGGCTAACGCAGACATTTGGTTTGGCCAGTGGAGCTGGCAGGCTGCTCACAGGACTAGCCAGAGACTCATTAATGCTTCTGGAATAGAGTTTGGCTTTGCTTATCGTTTGGGCAAGGCAGCAGTCTGCCACAAAAGAAGAGAAGAGGGGTTAAAAAAAATACTACACGTTTGTCTGTAGAGGCCAGTTCTTCTGGTGCACTTCAGTAGGAGAGATACGCTTGTATTAACCCAACAGAAGCCTGGCAGCTCTGCTACACTGGTAAAAAAGAAAATGAGCAAGGGCAATGAAATAACATATGGGTTAAGCCACACTGACCAAAAAGAACAGACTGAAAACAGACACCGGAGGGTCAGCATCTTCGTCCTGCACCAGTCCTTCCCACAGCAGAGAGAAAAAGTGCCTGTTGGAGAGCTCGCTAAGGAACTTCCAACTTTTTCAGCTCAGAAGGGGCACTGGAGAGGCTGTCAGCCTTGGGAGCATCTCTGATGCAGCAGTTATCACAGAAATTTGCTTCCAAAGGGCTTGTCTTGTTTTTCATAGGAGCACCTGCACTCACATGATTACAGTGGTAATGGTTTGCAAAGCACCTGGTACCTATAGGAGGACATGGATATTAGGTAGATGTTGAAAGAGCAACACACATTGATCTTGGTTTTATGTAAATTAGGACAAATCACGCAGAAAAAGGTTCCTCTGTGTATGCTAATGACTGCTAAAAAAAGGATCACCATCATCATCAGACGGTGGGAGAATCAGAGCTAAACTCTAGCTTTAATATCAGTTTGTTCCCCAGACTCATAGTAAACAGTCTCCAAAACAGCAACAACTGTCTCACTAACATTGAACATATTAATAACGCTGAAAGAGGCAATCTTGTGTCGGATGAAAAGCAAGCAGTTACTGCATTTGTTTGGAAGCAGATCCTGTGTGGTCACTCTTGGCAATAACATGATAATCTTCTAACAGCCTGAAGATGATTTACACATATGATACTTTTAATACTATTAACAAGAGAAACGTCAACAGATAAGAAACGCACTGTGCAAATGAATGTTGCCATTCTCTGCAGGGGATCACACATTCACTAGGCTCCTCTAATTGCATGCATGCTCATATGGCCCTCGCCTACTCTGCTGTTAAGGCTCTTTGCAGTTTTTGAAGTAGGATATAATACATAAAGTGAGAAAAACAAAGTCAAACCATTAGGAGGAAAGTCTTACAAATTACAGAATGCCATTTGATAATCTTTATTCTAAGGGTGAGGCACCAGAAATGGAGCAAAACAAATCAGTGGCTAAATGTGAAAACATTTTCATATTTGCAAATGCTGTGAGTTTAAGATTTCTTTTTCTTCCCTAACTTAGGACAAAGTCCAAGACTAAATTTTTCAAAACTCAGTAAGAGAGTTTTGTCTTTTAGTCTTCCAGATGGCATTTACGTGACAAAGATTTTAAACAATTTAGTCTTAAATTTTTTCCAAAGAAAAATCTCAGCAATTCAAACTGACTTCTTTAGAAGTGTCACTTTAAATTTATTGCTGGAAGCAAAGACAATTTTGCAACGACCTTATCTCTCCGAGTGGTTCTCAATCATAAGAGTCGTCAGGATCCATACCAATGCTCCCTACCTGACATTTTTGACAAAAAAAGATGTTTTAAAACATCCTGTGAGCTCTTGAGATAAATTGCTACAGCCTTAAAAATGCTGTGCACAGAGAACAGTAAAACAACAAGGAACAATGCCTCTGGGAGTAACAAGAATAAGGTGGGGGAGGACACACCACTTGAGCGAGAAGACCAAGTACCAGAGATTTCTGTAGAGCTAAGGATGGGGCAACTAGAAGGTGACAAGCATCTCTACATGAGGTCAGCTCAGCCAGACAAGCTTCCTAGCAATGTGACATGGATTTACTCAACATATATTTTCAGTCTTACTGCACTTTAGATGCATGTTTTCTATGTGATTCCTCTTATACTATTACCAAAACAAAGTAAGCTTTAAAATATTTCTGCTATTGATACAGCTCCTCAGTTAATGTTGTATCATCTGTGAATGCCAAAATAGTGCAAAAAGCTAAATGCCTCACAACTTCCAAGGCCTGGGCAACGCAAATCCAGCATCACCCTGTCTCTCTCTAGGCCAGGCTTCCAGCATTACACAAAGCTCCAGAACATTATCAGTTCTCTTGGTATATTTTCAAAATGAGAGGAAAATCCTTCAGCAAAAGATAGGGAGGCTTTGAGCTGACACAATGAACTCTGAGGTGGTTTGCATGTGACCTAATTTAGACAAAAGGCTACATATGTTAGTACCTCCTTACATTAGCATCGTCACACACACAAAGAACTAGAGACAGGTGTAGCTGTGTGATCTTGTGATTCAACTCACAAAGCTACTTAAATAAAAAAAAATCAGTATTTGTGAGAACAGTATCTTATCTTCCTATAATTCTTTCCAGGCAGAATATTTTTGAGTCTATGTGCAATATACATTAAAATAATGGCTACATCAGGTAGCTATAGTAACCAACATCTACAAGTGAGCAACAAAAGCATATTTAAGCTGCCCCAAATGCTGGTTTCTGAATTGACATTTTAAAGAACGGTTCCTTTCCTCATTGCCTGTGACTCATATATTCAAAGTTGTCTAAACAATGCAAGTAGCTTACTTAGCTTTCTCACACTATATAATTTATTTTGATTTGCTTCCAGCTTTCGTTTTCAGGCTGAAAGTTTCCAGGTTCAGCCTTGGTAAAGGTGACCTTCAAACTCTGAGTGGAGACTCTCCAAAAGAAACCAATGGAGGAGGAGATGCTGTAAACTTAAATATGGACTCAGGTCTGGTTTGTTTTGTTCCAAGTAAGTGACCTTTGTCTGGAAAACAAGTTTAGTAAAACTAGGTCTGCACAGCTGACTATGTAGAAAACTATCTCTGAGGAGGACTTAAAAATCACTGTAAATAAATAAGTAAACAAAAAGATGTGAATACATGGTGGCTGCAAAGACGTGTATAAAACCATTTATATTATTTCTGCATATGCTAATGGAAAGATTACTTCTAAAATGTACCCAATTCTCGCTCTCAGCATTTTTTCAGTGTTAAAAATTTGGAGAGAGTTCAAAGTGACAGCAAAGTATCCGAGGCCAAAAATAGGTCTAACAAAAAGGCTTCAGCCTAGTTAGCTTATCCAAGAGAAGGCTGGGAACTTAATCTTGAGCTGAAAGTGTTTACATAACAGAAGTCTTAAAAGAGAACATTAGTTGTCTTTCTAAGAAAAAAAAAATCTCTAATCACAACACCCTGTGCTCTTTTTATCCCACAGAAAGATAACTTCCTTCACTGAGAGAGACCCTTGCTGAAATTCTGTTATATTAAATACACTATATAGGTCATTAGACTACTGATTTTAACATGAGTTTTCATGGATCACCAGGATACATATCATCATGAATAGCATCATGGATACACGAGATAGATAGCCAGAGAAGTTATCCCAACAAGTATTCCAACAGAAAGTGTAATTAAATCTTCTGAATTCACGATGAAATGCTCTGGTTTAGTCCTGCAGATCCCAAGCCAGTTGTTTTCTTTCATCTTCAGTTTTTCCAAAAGGTATTTGTCCATTGCATGGCTGGCACCCTCTGCCTATAGACTATCTATCTTCTGCTGCCCTGCTGTTGTATTAACCAGGTGGTATCTCACTATTTTAAGACTGGTACAAAGGTGGGTTCTGCCTCTTGAAGGCTCCGGGAATGCACATACCTAATGAGGGTGCGTGTTCTATGCCATCCCTGGTAATCTTTCTTCAAACTAGCCATTTACTGGAGAATCCCAACTCCACAAGCTCCAGGAAATATGAAAAATGCAGGAAGTTATGCTGTACAGCTACAGAAACCATAACATGCTGGGAAGTCTTGATGGCGCTATACAGCACCATGGTTTGAAAGAGCATTACAGTTCAGGCTGGGACAACAACAAAATCAACAACTGGCTATCTGTCCTTGTTGTGAAGACTGGAAATCTTTCCTTCCAGTTCCAGACAGCACAAGGGTAGTAAGCATGGCACTGTCTTTGACACAGCCCATCTGTCAGCTCATCTCTTTTTTCCTTTTCTAAGATGCTATATTCTACAACATATACCGAGTTTTCATTACTCAGGATACTCAGCTGAACAATATCATGTTATCAGTACATTTCACCAAGTTTTTTCTTTCTATTACAACCCTATTAAAATTATTTTGTAATGTCTCAGGATAAACCTGTACGTGTCTTATCTACCAAAGAACACTGAATTTGTCTGTTATTGTTGATCACACAAATCCTTTATAGAGAACTAGCATTGACAAGTCCCTAAATGTCCCAAATATAGAGAAAAAAAATTAATGACATGTTAATGACCTAACAATGAGTAAGAAATGTTTTTTCCAGTGCCCTTCCAGCCATGCAGGACAGCAGGAGACATCCTTACTGAGAGCAACTGCAAGCTACCTCTTGCTTTGTGCCACCAGGTCTGCTCCCCACCCCTTCACATTTTAGCTCCCCTGAAGCAGGAATATGAGAAAAGCCTGCAAAATTACCTCACATAATTCACAGCGGGATGAACAATTGCTTCATTGAGCTAACTCCTGTTTGTACTCTGGAACCTGAATAAATTGGCAATCCCGACTGCAGGATGCGAGGAGAATAACACACTGGGAGAACATCTGCTGTCCCAACTGCAACCTGGAAGGAAACTTGACCATGAGTACTTGGGTTCAGTATGAGAAAAATGCTAACTGTCCGTTGCACACTTCAGGGGACTAATGAAGTTATGTGTCATCTGTTTGTGCAGCATTGTTCGTTCTGTTTTCTCTGTTTGGAAAGCCAGATGTTGCTAAACTGAGACCTGGCTATGTGGCTTCCAGTGACTGAACAGTTGTTTTTGCCTCTTGTCCTGAGAGATGGAATTTGTTAAAACTGTGAGCACCTGTACTTGCCCACAGTTGAGCTGGAGATGAGGTGAATACGAGTAAAAGCTTTCAAGCTTGATTTCTTCTGCAGGTTAGCAAAGCAGGCAAGTCTCCTGTAGCTTGGCTCCTTTGGGACTTACAGCCTCAGATCCAGGCAGGGCAAGGAATGGCTGGAAGACATAAACACAAGGTGGGCTGAAAAAAAAAAAAAGAAAACAACTTTAAATATTTTCCCAAATTAGGGCGAGCCGAAAAGAACTCCTAGTGATAATCTGGAAGCTTACCAGGCTTTCAGGTACTGTGTGGGGAATTACGTTTATGTTTGTGTAAATGAATTGGAAGGGAGTACCCCAGAGGGATACCCATCTGGCAGAACTCATTAAATCCAATTCACCCATTATGCAACCAACTTCTTTGTAAGAAGAAACACAGGTGGTTCGGCAAAACGAAAGAGAAGCTGAATATGTCTGTGGGTTTGTAGAGCCCTCAAACAGGGGTATAAAATTCATAAAAATGGTATTCGGTGGTGTCTGATAGAACAGTAACATTCAATAAGGCAGCCTTCCCTACTAACGTACATATCCAGGGACACTTCTTAGTTTTAAACATAGGAAAATGTGGAAGTGAACAAACCTGTAAAAATTTCAGGCACTATTTTAGAGCTTTGGGAGCTGCACTGAAGCGTTGATGAAAATGGTATGCTAGGTATGTATTACTATAGAAAGATGTTTATGTTCTGGAGCCTTTTTGTTTTCTTAACCTTTGAAGTTAAACAGTTCGGGTGGCAAAAACTCAGTTGCCACAAGCCAGTGGCTGATGGGGAGGTGTGAAATGTGTTTTGAGAATGACTCAAGCCAAAAAGTGGACCAACAAAAACTACTTTCTAGGTTAAAAAAACAATGGGCAGTCACAATGAGGTGCTATTTTAAAGAGCATTCTGTGATTTAAAATCATATAAGAAATAACTTTTGAGAAGCATGTTCTGGCATTTAAATCTTTAATGTCAATTCAGTGCTAATACAGCCTTTCACTGACAGGCATCTGAATCTTTGTGAGAAAACAGGAGCAAGACAGATTGACATTACCATCCTATAAAGATGTAGCCTATCCTCTGTACCCTCTCCTGGTGCTTATTGTAAATTAGCCCCATCGCAAGCAATTACAATTCATTGTTTAATAAATCAACATGCTAAATCTTGATTTTAAGTTCTTCATATGATTTTAAAATAACATGCTTATAGCTGGAGGTAAATTAACATACAAAAAATGATTTGTCAGATAAATGTTACAGTTGATCTACTTGGATAAATGTTTTTAATGTAATTAAATTCTCTGATGTAATAATTTGCTTGAGCTCCAGAATGGAATAAATGAATAACAGTTGAAGAGACTAAGGATTTCCTATTCTTAAAGATCTGACAAGTAAAAGAACAGGATACAGGTCTTAGAATTTTCCATCCCTTCGCAAACACTGCATTTTTCTGCGGGTAGTATGTTGAGGTTCCCAGCAAGCAAAATGCAGCTTACAGCTATGAAAACTATGTTTTTTCTTGCCTACTGAGTTCTTATTGTAATACATTTTCAAATCTTCTCCTTAGGTAGCTTGCTACTGGTACTTCAAAAAGAAAAAAAAAAAAAAAAGAAGAGACATTTAGCAGGAAACACTCTATTTCTAAGGCATTTTAAAAATTTTTCCATTGTTTATGGTATCCACTGATGAGTTTAAAAATGTCATTTCCTACCCTAACAATCTTAATTTTTCTCTTTGCTTTGCTAATCCATAAGTAGCAGTGTGAGTGTTTACACAGCATTTTCCATGCTGCAAACTAAGAGGATAGATTCTCTTGGTATTCAAAAAATTATGGATGCAGAAGGAAACAGGAATGCACTTGCTCCCAATGAATGAGGTTCCAACATTCTGCCTTATGGATCAGGATTAATTCCTAGTCCCTGCAAATATAGGCTATCTTCCAGTCCTGTGATACCTATGGACAACAGAACAACCAGGGAATGGTCTTGCACTTTTATATTCTTCCCAGTTCCTCTCATGACTGCAAGACCATAAGACTGAACACTCCCAAGAAACTGTGACTTGCCCTCTGCTCTAGCTGAGGACTTGGTAGGGTAGACACAGCCCTGGCCACAGCCTCTAGCCTCTGCAGACTGTATCTCCTCTTTCCCACAGGGCCCAGCCTTCTGGGTCTTTGGAGAACCTTTTGTTGACTTAAAGAAAAGGGAAGGAAGGGTAGGATATCAGAGCACTGGCATTTCTCCCAGCTCTTTGCACCAGGAGTTGTGGGTGCTCCTGAGAAGCTGACTAGACCCGTAGCTACCTGCTATTTATTTATTTAGTACCAACAGAAGGCTTAGCAATTGTACAAGAGAGAGGAGTCACAACTCCTGACAGTCTAGAGTCAGAGAAAGAAAAAGAAGAAACATGAAGTAACATTAAGTCAGTAAACGTACTGTGTTATGCCACTGAGACAGACCGTCTTCTGGCTACCTACTACGCAAATGGAGGTAAAGACATCCGGGAAAAGTTCAGTCTCAATAGATGTGACAGACAATGGAGGACGACAGGTTTGATTTGATTTGCCCAAGAGCACCTAGCAGGCATAGCGATGTGTTAATGGATAGGTATTAGATACTTTTATAGTCAGGAAGGAATGAAGAATGTTTAAGTGCTCTGCCAAGGAACAGGAAAAAAAGTCAGCATTACAGTCGCGATGCTGGTAGGAAGGTCAAACCGCTAGACCATGCCCCCTTTTCTGCTAAAATAAGCGTTCCTTATTTTACTGTAAACAAAGCCAGTAACATTGTCAAACATGTAGGTAGCATTTTCAACCTTGACTTTTCCACTGTTTGTAATTTTGCAAAACTGACTCTCTTTTTCCCACTGAAACTGCATGTGGTATGGGTCTCATTATCATTATGTTTGTCGAGTTTTTATGTTCATTTTCAGCTGAGAGTAATTTGGATCAAACAAAAACGTTAGGGAATACTACAGTGTGCAACTTATATCAAAGCCACCGTATGTATTTCACTGTGACACTCTGCTCTTTCTGAACACTAGATCAAGGGACTGATGTTTGACAGGGGAATGGTCTTGATGTCAAAATGAGCTTTCAGTGCTCTCGCAAACATCTACCTAAAGATGGCTGAGTTACGAACCTCTGAAAATTCATGTGTGCTTTGTAGCTTTGCAGAGACTTTGTAGAGCTTGATAGCTATATTTTCAGAAGATTATGTTCATCCCAAGTATTTTTTTTTTTTTTTGCTACAGGGGCTGAACAGATTTTCCCTCAATTGCTTCTTTTGTCTATTTAGTCGTTGGCGGCAGGGGGGCTTTGAGTGCAGAGAATGTCTCTTCTGTCCTCTCAACTGGTCATCGTCTGACCATCAACAGGCGCGCAGGCAATGCAGGGGAGAACCTAGTGAGCTGGGGGTGGACCAAGCCTAGAGCTGGGGCACACTGACAGACAGCCAAGAACAGGCGTGAGTATGTATCCCAAAGGCAGCTCTGTAGGTCAGACTCCTCGTAGCTCCTCACCATTCACCATATGCTCCAAGTCACGTGATGGGGAAGCAGCTCCGCCTCAACTCAGTTCCATGTGGGAGCAGAGACAAGTTGCTAAGGAGCTTTATGGGGAGGAACAAGTCGTTGGGGTACATCAG